AAGTAAGGGCAGCAGCTTTGTTCTGGCTCGTGGTTCCAGAGCACTGCCAGCTGTGTCCATTACTTTGGGGATAAAGACATGGCAGAAGCATCACAGAGGAAAGGCATAGTAAAAGAAAGCTGTTCCTCCCATGATCATGAGGAGGCAAAGAGAGACAGGGAAGGGACAAGATGCCTTTCTCCAGTGACCTGCTTCCTCCAACTAGGCTAGCTCCCAAGAGTTTCCATTTCCTTCCCAACAATGCCATCAGATTAGGAAGCCACCAATAAATTAGTCCACTGCTGAAGGTACGCCCCAAGGTTCAATCATTCTCTGTGATTGGATCCATCTTCTGGAAACAAGGTCGACCACACACAGTTCTTCAACCTGATACTTCTTCCTATGCAAACCATAACAGGGAAGAAAGAAGCCATTGGCAAAGGCCCTACAGGTGGGCCTATGCTTCCGCTCAGAAGTAGCTCGGCTTCTCTTTTTAAACTTTTTAAAATTCATTTTACATACCAAAGTTCAGCTTCTTGTAGCATTATCACAACTAATACACTCTTAATTTACAACCTCATTCCCTTCTTCTCAGGTAACTAAAAGGCATCACAATTGATATGTTCAAGATGAATTGCTATTTTCCTCAAAATACTGCTTTTCATTTGGTACACTTTATATGGATAAATAAAAATATTCAAGTGTGAGACATCTAACTGCCACACAAGGAAACCCCATGAAGTCCCTGAGGATAGAAATCTAGCTGTTGATCTGTAGCACTTAGTACGGCAATATCTAGAACATAGTACTTTAAAATGTACTTGTTTGTATGCACCAATGTCAGAAGACTGCTGTGACTAATTCTGGACTCTTCAGCAGAAATTAGTAAACACAATAAGCACTTTCCGCAGCTGTGACATCCTAGTTTTCGATCTCCCACCTACTAGAAGGGTAACTATACAGACTTTGTTCCCGGTTCCTGACCTACAATTTTGTGGATAGTCTTTACTGGCAATCCAATTGGATTTAGAATACCTCAATAAACAAGCCTCTGGACATGGCTGAGAGGTTTACTAAAGAAGGAAGCCCCAGCACAATCTGTTGAAGATGCTCTCTTTTTTCCATTGTATACTTTTAGCTCCTTTATAGAAAATCAGGTGTTCATAGGTTTGTGGGTTAAAGTCAGGGTCTTCTATTCGCTTCCATTGGTCGACTTCTCTGTTTTTATGCCAATACCAAGCTGTTTTCAATACTGTAGCTCTGTAATAGAGTTTGAAGTCAGGGATGGTAATGCCTCCAGACGATCCTTTATTGTATAAGATTGTTTTGGATATCCTGGGTTTTTTGTTTTTCCATATAAAGTTGATTATTGTCTTCTCCAGATCTGTGAAGAATTTTGATGGGATTTTGATGGGGATTGCAGTGATCCTAGAGAAGCTAAATAAGGAGAACCCAAAGAAAAACATATAGGCATCCTCCTGAATATTAACCTTCATCAGGCGATGAAAGGAGACAGAGACAGAGACCCACATTGGATCACCGGACTGAAATCTCAAGGCCCAAATCAGGAGCAGAAAGAGAGAGAGCACGAGCAAGGAACTCAGGACCGCGAGGGGTGCACCCACACACTGAGACAATAGGGATGTTCTATCGGGAACTCACCAAGGCCAGCTGGCCCGGGTCTGAAAAAGCATGGGATAAAACCGGACTCGCTGAACATAGCGGACAATGAGGACTACTGAGAACTCAAGAACAATGGCAATGGGTTTTTGATCCTACTGCACGTACTGGCTTTGGGGGAGCCTAGGCAGTTTGGATGCTCACCTTACTAGACCTGGATGGAGGTGGGTGGTCCTTGGACTCCCCACAGGGCAGGGAACCCTGATTGCTCTTTGGGCTAACGAGGGAGGAGGACTTGATTGGGGGAGGGGAGGGAAATGGGAGGCGGTGGCAGGGAGGAGGCAGAAATCTTTAATAAATAAATAAATGAATAAATAAATAAATAAATAAGAAAGCGCCAAAAAAAAAAAAAGAAGAAGGAAGCCCCGCCCTGAATGCCAGCAGCAGCACTGTGCAAGGCTAGAGCCCTGGAATAAACGGATATGAACACTATATTCACCTCTCTGCTTCTGACTGATGTCAACGCTGCCAGCTGCCTTCACGACTTCTCCACCATGGTGGACTGTGTCCTAAAATTGAAAGTCAAACCCTCTATCCTTAATTTGTTTCTTGGCAAGTATTTAGTCACAGCAATGAAAAATTCCTAAAACTTTGGATCTGTGATAACAATGACTTTGGTGGGTCTAGAGCTGTAGCTCAGTGTGAGAACATATACTACATGCGTGTGAGGCCCTGGAGTTAATATCCAACACACATACCTAGATGGATATAGCTACAGATACAGATGACCTTTTGGATTCCAGGACAGCCAGGGATACACAGGGAAACCCTGTCTCAAAACAAAGAATATCCCACGATGTATATGTAGCACATTTTAAAAGTTCATTCATGACCTGATAGACACGGCTGATTACATGTCAGCCTCTGAGAACAACCATGGGAGTGCAGATGTCTCGTCAGCACGTTGACTTTCTTTGTAGTCACGGCATTGCTGATCACAAGGCAGTTCTATTTTTAGCTTTCTGGGAACTTCCAGACTGTCTCCCACGGTGTCTATACTAATTCACATTCCCACCAGCAGTGTCTGGTCCACAACGTTCCTCTCTGCAGTCCAGCTAGCACTTGCTGCCGTTGGACTTATTCAGGTATTCTAAGTGGAATAAGGCAGTAACTAGCTGTCTGGTGATGCGTGACTTGGAGCACTGTCCCACGTACCTGCTGACCACCTATGTCTTCTTTTAAGAAATGTCTATTTGAATCTATTGTACATTTATTAATTACATTGAGTTTTTGCTGAGCTGAGTTCCATTTCATTTTGCAACCTAGTCCTTCACCAGATGTGCGGCTGTAAATAGATTCTCTTATTCTCTAACAAGTTTTAGAGCAAACAGAAACTCTTTGGTCTTGTAATATAGGGTGTAGCTCAAAGTATGAGTTATGATGACTGATTAGTGTTTGTGGAAAAGTATTTTTAAAATGGATCCGTGACCACACTGCCACATCAGCTATTCATTTAACAATATCTACTGAGCAGCCATGTGTGAGACAGGCAATAGAGAAACACCCTGTCCTGGGCACCGGTCCTCAAACTGTCAAGAGCACAGAAGCGGCCCTGCTGTGAACACCCACAGACTGCCCACTGCATTGATTCAAACAGACTATGAGATGGGTATCCTTACAGCAGCACAGCTGATCAGCCCTCTAGGAGACCCCTCCCCTAAATCTATAGAACTGCAAACTGAGAAGACCAAACCTGACAACCTCAGAAACGATCATCTATGCAAAGGTCAGGCAATGATGGTTTATTTTCAAGTACTCCTTAAAACTGTCCTAAAAATATCTTAAAATTCTTAATCAAAAGTGGCAAGTGCTGGCTATAATACATATTTTTTTTTTAAAAAAATCCTTTATTGGTCTGGGACATAGCTGGGTGGTTGAGAACTTATTGTGCATGCACAAGACCCTGCATCTATGTCCCCTATGGAAACTAAACCAAACCAAACCAAAATCCTTTATTTGCTTAAACTAGCTTAAGTTGATTTCAAGAAAGACAATGTAAAACTTCAGTTTTGAATGAGTAACCTCAATTTAAAGAGACTCAATAGTTGACTAGCTGTGTCTAATGAGATCATATGTAAGCTGGCAGTTGTCATCCGAGACACAAACATCCCATGGTACCTCTCATCTATCTTGTCTTCCCAATAAACTCTGCCTTCTGGTAACATTCTGTGTAAGTTATACATGATGATACATCACAGTTAAGATATAAAAACATTATGGCTTCTACTTTGATTTTTTATTACTTTATTAATACTAGGAATCAAAATTTCCACTTCCTCCCCTTCTCCCACTTCCCTCCCGCTCCCCCACTTACCCTCCAGTCCTAAAAGAGGGCAGGGTATCCTGCCCTGTGGGAAGTCCTAGGCCCTCCCCCCCATCCATCCAGGCTTAGGAAGGTGAGCATTCAAATAGACTAGGATCCCAAAAAGCCAGTACATGCAGTAGAGACAAATCCCAGTGCCATTATCATTGGCTTCTCAGTCTGCCCCAGTTGTCAGTGGCTTCTACTTTGTGTATCAACATGATCTCATTGTCTCTTGACCCTACCTAACTCTTTCTGAGAAAGGTGCCAAGCTATTAACTATAAAGAATTTAGGGTAAGGAACTGAGGCCTACCCACAACCACCAGAGAGGCAGTATTTTCTCCAGCCCTGGACGTGATTCACTGCAATGTCATGAGACCCTGAGCTAGAACCACTGAAGTGATGTTTGAGTTTCGTGACGTGTATTATTAACTATTATTACTAAATATAAGAAAATAAATGCCTAAAACAATACAATTTACCATCTTACAGCTTTCTAAGTTATAAGTCCAGTGGACTCAACCTCTTTCTTTGCTCTAGGCATCAAAAGGCAGGAAAGGTGTTGGCGACATCCATTACTTATTACAGGTCCTGGGAAGAATATGTGCCTTCAAGTCTCTGGCAGAATTAAGTTCCATATAGCTGTGGGTCTGTGTTCCCTAACTCTATGCTAGCTATCAGGTAGGGAATATTAGTTGCTGAGGCCACCCACATTCCTTGGCTCACAGCCCCTACTCCATCTCACACTTTGAATCTCTCTGAACATCTTTCTGCCTCATCTCTCTGACTCATTTCTTCTGACGTCTGCTGAAAATGATTCCCATGTTTAAGAGCTCGTGTATTAGGCTGAGCCCACACAGAGAACCCCCAACTTATCTGCAACTGTAATCTTACTTTCTTTTTTTTAATATATCATACCCATGGTTTTAGAAAATAAGACATGGATGTTCATGGGACTCTAATTATCCCTACGACACCAGCAAAAAGAAGGGAACGGTTCCTCTAGACACAGAAGCACAACTGTACATAGGAACTCACCGCTGCTGTGACAGTACGCAGCATGAAGAGGAAGCTGAGCACATTGGCACCTGTAGCTGCTGGAAGCGCAAGACACCAGTTTCTCCAACAGTGCAGCCCTGCTGAGCCAACCGCTGTCCAGGGTGAGAGCACACAGCCAGTGAAGCTGGAACAGCACCAACTCGGCTACCGAGTTTGAAAGTTGGTGGACAGGGAAGGGGGTATGAATCAGGAGAGAGCTGGGAGAGGAAGGGTGCATGTGACCAAAACACACCGAATGAAACTCTCAGAGAACTAATTTAAAAACTGCAATTTAATAAATACTTGTTTTAGACTTTTGATTTTTTTACAATAAATAACTAATATATACACACAGAGTGAAACTGCTAAAATCATTAAAGAATATGCATTTATATACAAGGTATATAAATGAGGTAAATTCGAGATTCACACATTTAACACATACGAGAAGAAATGCTAACAAGCATTTGTATGCAGTAGAATCACAGGATGGACCCTCTAGACCCTGGGAGACCTTGCACTGAATCTGTTATTTCACATTCATGCCATATAGCACCGATTTCCGTTTCTCTTATAATCTAAATCTGCAGTTATCACATTTTGAGAATAACTTCAGAGTCAAAACTAAATGCCCTTAAATTAATTTTATTCTTAAATACATTGCTTTTTCATTGCCCCTCCCATACACACACATACAAGTTAATATTTCAAGGTTTAGCATCTAGAATCATTTGTTCACTGAATGGGTCCTCTAGAAGAGATGCTTCAGTACGTGTGCTCTGATCCCAGTGTTTATGGGAGCCCCTTATTTCTAGTTTATATGCCCTGATCCCAGTGCCTGTGTGAGCACCTTATTTCTGGTGCATGTACCCTCATCCCCCTGATCCCAGTGCCCGTGTGAGCACCTTATTTCTGGTGCATGTACCCTCATCCCCCTGATCCTAGGACTTGTGTGAGCACCTTATTTCTGGTGCATATACCCTCATCCCCCTGATCCCAGTGCCTGTGTGAGCACCTTATTTCTGGTGCATGTACCCTCATCCCCCTGATCCTAGGACTTGTGTGAGCACCTTATTTCTGGTGCATGTACCCTCATCCCCCTGACCCTATGGCTCGTGTAAGCACCTTATTTCTGGTGTTTGTGCCCTGAGCCAGTGCTTGTGTGAGCACTTTATTTCTGGTGCTGTTTTGCTGAGATTCAAAAAAAGAGAATACTCATTTCCTAAATCCTAAGCCTACTTTACAATTCTTATTTTCTTTGGTATCTCACAATATATGGCAAGACTAACCATCATTTTCTCTTGGCTTCTATCACATGAAAGCCATGGCTTTCCAACCTTCCTAGCTACTACCCTCTGTAGGTCTCTGCCATCTCTCCCTGAACTCATTCACTGAGTACTACAGCTGCTCAAAAAGATCACCGCTTTCGCCTCCTTAGAAGAATGGATTTCATATGCTGCATATTCAATTCCCACCTATATGAAACAACTTTCAAATATGTCTCTTCTCTTCTATTTTTTACTGGATTCCAAATCCTCAGATACAGGTCAGTACTAGAGCTTAGGTGTCCAATACATACCTAAAATCAATCACATCCCAAGTGACACTCTATCATCCCTCACAAAACAACTTCTAGTAAGGATTGGAACTCAGGGTAAGTGGTAAGCCATTCATTCTGCCAAGTCAGCCATACTTTTCTCTAAACCCAGCTGCTTCTATTGGGGAAAAGGGCGGAGACATAAGGAGAAACCATTGAAAAGAAAGGGAACAGATATTCAGGAGGAGAGGTAAAGCCACAAGTCACATGGCAATATGCAGATGAATGAAAATGGGTTAATTTAAGTTAGAAGAGTTAGTTAGAAAGAAGCCTAAGCTATCAGCTGAGTGTTCATAATTAATAAGTCTCCAAGTTATTTTTTGTGAGCTGGCAGCCCCAAAAATTATCCAACTACATATGGGGCACATATATCGACATACGGCCTGAGAAGGCTTTTTTTTTTTTTTTTTGTAAAGTTCAGAACACAGGAGTCAAAGGAGGCTTTGTGGTGACCACAGTCTCTCAGACAGGCTCAGCTATAGAGAGTGTCTGCAGGTTGGAACCATCTACCAGCACCATGAACAAAGCTGAGCCATGCTGGCAGCTGGCATAGCATCTTACGATCTGCCTCATGAGATTAGAGAACACCACATCCAGATGGGGTGGGGAGGACCTCTAAACAGGTTACATTATGTTTAAAAATGTGTGTACGCTTGAAAAAAAATGGGTATAGACAGTCATAGAAAAAAACATTCTGAAGGCAAGTATTTTTGTTGCATTGGGGAAAGGGTTATGTTTTTGTTTCCAGAGGAAACAGAAGGCTGTGGATTCACTCAAGGTTGACAGAGATCAGATTTGATCAGGGAAGGATCCCCTGAAAATCCTGTCTACAGACATAAAGAAATAAACATAGAAAAACTATAAGACAGGTGATATATATTTCACCTGCTCAAACATAAAACAACAAAAAAAAATCTTTGGCTGACTTGTGTACAACACAGAGTCCATATTTGTGTTAGTGCAAATATGTATGTTACCTTTAAAATGTGTGTATTTTCAGAGCAAAGGGACCATATACCAATGAAAACAGGTGGCCCAGTCATCTAGTCTCTCAGAGTGCCTCTTGCAATTATCTCAGAGTTCTGCATCCAGAACAACTGCAAGACTGCTGGCTGAGATAGTTTAGCCTCACAGACTGCTTTAGACAGGACTTGACAATTATACTAATTTTATCAGGGTCCCCAAAAGATGCCAGCACCCCCAGACAACATGAAGCAGTCTAGAGAACACAATGTCCACATTCCCAAGAAGTAGAATGGGTAGGTTTTGTTGTTGTTTTTGATCATGTGGTGGTGGGATATGGATGTTTGTCATTGTTTAGGGGGCTTGACTACAAATTGTTATTGATCATGGTCAGGAAAAAAACAAAGGATATTAGATTCAAGGATCTCTTTCTTAAGAACAAAAGAGGGAAAATACAAAAATGATGAGATAAAAGGTTAGATTGTTGAACAATCATTACTCTCAAATATTTTAGTTGGTACACTTATTTGTATATTGATAAAATTTAAAGTTATCATGTTATACTAAGTGCATGTTTCTATTCTTGTTTGGGGTATTGTGCATATTCAGCTAATTTAAAAATACAAGATATAAAATGCAGGTTAGTAGTTAGGTATCTATAATAATCAAACTTGTAGTCATGTTACGTATGTTTTCAAGATCATACAGGGATATATTTTAGATAAACAAGTGATCTTCAAACACTTCAAAGACCTATAGAATATGGTATTTAAGATGTTGAATGACCTAAGGTTTTTCATAACAGTGAGACACATCTGCTCCTTCCAACACCAATTTACTTCAGAAAGGATGATGGGCACTGAAGAACTTCCATATGGAGTTTGCTTTTATTGTGGTAAAGGTAGGCATTGAGCAAAAAACAGGTCTTGCCTTGACTACTGACTGTATGCAATACAAAGTAGACACAAAGTAAAAGACTGTTGAACTTTGCCAAAACAGAGGAGGACAGTCCTTCACAATCCTTGCTTCATAGAAAACTCTGCCAGATACTATGGAGGATACAAAAGAAAGCAACTGCTGAACTTTGCCAAAACAAGATGGGAGAGTCCTTCAAATTTCCTGCTTCACATAAAGGTCTGCAAGACGTTATAGGCTTATAGGCCAAAGATGGATGCCCCAACATTTTAGAGGAGCCTTTGTTGACTGTCCTATCATTTGTATGCTTTAGGAGTGGTACTTGCACTGCACTTCTTGCTTACTCAGGTAATATTATATCCTGCCATGCTCCTTGATGAAGTTGAAGACTATACAATTAGTTAAGACAGAAGGTAAATTAGGTACAAAACTTTGGACTTACCAAGATAGGATTAATAATAGAGTATTTTCTCTGAATTTGCCAAATACAAATGGACTGGATACTGTAAATCTAGTATTATCCAAAATTATCCTTACTTGATAATTGTTCTTGTTGTATATTGTCTAACTTTGTTGAACTTACATTTCTTATTTAGGAAAAAGAGGGAAATGTTGTAGAATAATCTTTTTGTACATCATGAAGATGTGTCACTGTTAATGGTTTAATAAAACGCAGAACGGCCATTAGCTAAGCAGGATTTCTAGGCACAGAGGAGGCTGGGAAGAAGAACAGAGATGTTAGAAGTCACCAGTGGACAGAGGGGGAACAGGCATGTAGGAGGAGAGGTAAAGCCACAATCATGTAGCAAAACATAGATAAATAGAAATGGGTTATAAGTTATAAGTGTTAGTTAAAACAAGCCTAAGCTATTGACCAAGCTTTCATAACTAACAATATGTCTCCATGTCATTTTTTTTTGTGATTTGACAATCCCCCCAAAAAAACTGTCTACAGGACAGAAAGAGAAGAGAATGAGAGAGAACAAAGAAGAAAGAGAGGGGAAGAGAGAGAGAGAGAGAGAGAGAGAGAGAGAGAGAGACGCCCAGGGTCAGTCAGTCAGGCAGCCGCCAGTCAGCAAAACATAGAGTAGGACATACAGAAGGAAAGAAAGGTAAAAAGCTAAGTCACAATGTAGATGAATAGAAACATGTTAAAAATAAATTGTAATATCAAGTGGGACACGCATAATAAAAGGCCAGGCATTCATAATTAATAATAAGCATCTGTGTCTTGATTTGGGAGCTGGTTGATGGTCCAAAAGAATGCCCACTACAAACATCATGGTAAGTTAGTCTAACTGAACTACAAACTCATTATTTTCCTTGTTCCCCTAGTACCTTACAAACAAGGAGACAAAGAATGTACTAAATAGTGGTTAAAGGTCTGGCCACACAGACAGACACCCTAGAGTGATTTTCTATCACTTACAATAATGTCCTAGACAACGTCACATTCCCACATGAAAGTGAGTAAAAATTACAGCTGAAAGTAAGACATAAATAACCTTCTAGTGATATAATATTCATAAAAGCTTAGGCGTTAGGAAGTGCAAGAATTCTCCCACTTTTATATGAGTCTTGGGAGTTACTATATATAGAACCTGAGGACTCGAGAAAATTAAGAGAGACCAACAGGCAGGGTTATATTCACCCAATATCTAAATGACTCCATTTCCTAAACATCAGTAAC